AGATTGCGAGAGTTGGGACTGCTCAGCCTGGAGAAGAAAAGGCTCCAGAGAGACCTTATAACACCTTCCAGTACCTAAAGGGGGCTACAGGAAAGCTGGAGAGGGACTTTTCACAAGGGCATGTAGTGATGGGACAGGGAGGAATGGCTTTAAACTGAAGGATGATAGGTTAGATTAGATATTATGCAGAAATTCTTTGTTGTGAGGGTGGTAAAGCACTGGAACGGGTTGCCCAGAGGACTCCCTATCCCTGGAGGTGTTCAAGACCAGGCTGGATGGGGCTCTGAGTAATCTGGTATAGTGGAAGGTTCCCTGTCCCTGGCCAGGGAGTTGGTCCCTCCCAGCACAAACCATTCTATGATTCTGTGATTCTATGATAAATGTCTTTGGCACTAATTTTGAAAGTTTTTGATCTTCTCCTAGAAGTGGCAAAGAGTAGCAGCAAGTGGCCAGTACAGTGTTGCCCATAATGACACTGTTCTTGTCAGCATTAGTGTTGTGGGTCCGATGGAAAACAGGTACGTCAGAGGAGTGATGGAGAGGGAAGTTCACTCTTGTGAAGATACAATGAACAGGAGTCTGCACTTCTGCGATTGGAAACATGAGGATATACCCCACGCACAACTTACTGTGACAGATCTCCATCAGTAACCTTCACTGAAGACAGCCCTCCAGCCACATGAGCATGACTGTAATAATGTTTCAGTTCCCTCATGAGCTATAGCAACTCACTCACACACACACACACACGTTCTTCCTTTACCTTTTCTTCATCCCCATGCCCAGAAGCTCAGCAGCTGGCCACTATGGCCTTGTACACTCAGAAGCCTTCCTCCCCCCCATGACTGTCCTGCGCAGAGGAAGGCTGTGCTGAGACCCCAGGGCAGCTGCTGTACCAGTTTGCTCCCAAGGCGGCAGCAATACAGTCACGTTGGTGTGTCATTCACCTCCCCTAGACAGTTCCTCTGAGTTGAGTTCTTCATAATTATGTCTCCATAATTATTTCCTTCCCCGGTGTGGCAGCAGGGAGGCACATGCTGCCCCAAATGCCCTGGGAGGAGTTATGCGTTACCTACTGCCACTGTATGCCCGGCACTTGGGAAAAGCCCAGAATGACAGGGAGAGGGAGGGCAGGAAAAGGACCCAAAGGTGTGCTCCTTCAACACCTCCTACTTGACAGTTGAGCCCTGGTTTTACCATGGTCAAGTGTCAGAGGGGACCAAGTTACAGAGTGAATCAAACTCTATATTTAGGAAGAACAACTGGAAGCTATGACAGGAATTCCCTTTTACACTTTGCTTCTCTGCTGAGTCCCACTCCAGCCTGGAGCAGCTCTGAGTGCCGTCCAGGCTGAAAGCATCGGAGCTATTTCAGACACATTAAAAGGGTCACAGTCAATACCTCAGCTGGTGGAAGAAGGTACCTCTTTCAGCATCAAAAGAAGGTGTGCATACTCACTTGACGGTTTGGAACTTTTCTTATATAAGTAAATAAGTAAGCTAATATTGAAGGGGTCAATTAAAAACTTGGAAGACCCTTATGAAAACTCTTTTGTAACTGCTGTGAGTTGACTACAATAGTTGTATGTTTCTACTTATTTTAATGTCTCGTGCAGCGTATCAGCATATTCTGAATATGATAGCAGATTGCTATTGCTTCTTAGTCTGTGGGGATCTTTAAAGATTTAAAATAGAAAGTCACTTAAATACCTAGTGACTCATAAGAAGTGTAAATGTGTATAAGATTGAACACTGTATTACATAGGTAGATGGTTATTGTTTTCTCTGTGTTTGTTAGTGAAATATTACATGGGGGTTTGGATGGTAAGAGTAGTTTCTTTCACTGTAAGCTTAACAGGTAACTATAGCAGAGATTATTATGTATGTATTACAGAAAATGTGACCACATCTGCCTAGAGCATGTAGTAAGTTTTTGTGTAAGAGGCTGAAAGCTGTGAACTTGGGGTTTCTCTTATTTCATTGTACTCGCTGGGTCTCACAGTAGTGTAGTTCCTGTCAAAGCCTTTTAATAAGATAATACACTGCAGTTCTGTGTCCAAAATACCCGTAGTGCTTGATGCTGTGCGTGCGATGGGGGGAGAGGACAGCTTCCAGCTGGGGCAGGGGGAGGGCTCTTTCTGTTGTCTGTGTGTTACTGTACATCTCTTGTGTGGATTACAAAAGATGGCATTATGATATCTCATCGTATTTAAAGCAAATTGAACAAGTCAGCTTATTATCTTGCTGCAGCCCTGTCAGAAATTATTTTTAGCAGAGAGACAGAAGATAGGTCCTTTGTTTTACAAAGTCTCGCTTCAAAACACTGATTTATTTCACTGTAATAGTCCTGTATTTTACAAGTAATTCTGCTCAAGTACTTTCACTGTGAAGCAAGGGAATTTGCAAGGGAAGCCTAGCGTTACCCAGCTCCAGACTGAACCAACGTTGCCATTGCTTTCTAAGTTTGGCTCAGCATGCAGCCCATAAAAGGTAAAAGGTAAGGTGTGGGGAGGCCAAAAAGACACCGGGGAATACAGGCTCCATGTGTCTGCGTTTCTCTGCCTGCTTACATGTGAAATCCGGCTGTGGAAATGAGGGTGAAGCGGGATTTTTTTTCAAGTTTGCAGAGCTGATCAGAATGCCAGGAATAACTTAAGACAATCAGTGCAGCACTCTTGACTCTCTCTCTGAGACACGTGGCAAAAGAACAAAGGAATTTATAAAAATTAAATAATCATTTCTGTAACAGCTGCTGTTAAAAAACATAAGGTTTATTTTCCTGTGACTGATGGTCAGTATCACTCTGTAAGGAAACTCAGGGAAGGTAGAGAAGGGGAAAGAACCAGAGAAGTTGATCTATTTTTACTCAGTAGTTTGCTGTTGTCCTGATTTCTCTGGTGGTAATGAGGACAGCAGGATCTGGTAGGAAAATCACCTCCTCCAAAAGCAGTCCTACACAATTGTATCATGCATCCCTCTTTAGGAACCGGTGTCTGATTGCAGTAATTTTGAACGCTGACTGCTTGTGAACCCAGAGCACCTCGCTGAGGAGCACTGACACTGTGCTTGTTTTAAAGCTGAGATTCAGTGCAAATCCTTCCTGTTGATCTCTAGGTGACCCAAGAGCTGCGTATCAATGTTTTTTGCAATGCACAGGTATTCCAGATGAAGAAATATATCTTAGCTTGAATTCCTTTGTGACAGTGGTTGGGAATTAGATCCACTTTGGTTTAAAATGTTTTATGTCATTTTTCTGTACTTTTGTTTCCATTTGCCATTTTGATTAGAAAGAGGAGAGGATGATAAGAAAAATTAATTAAGGTTTCTGTATTATGAGTCCTATCTTCTCAATAAACTGGGGGATTGCTCAGTGTTTCTTTTGGAATACAGTCACTGGTTAACAGAACAGTTACTTCTATGCATAGTAAAGATTTTTAAAAAGGAAGGAGACAGAGTGTAGTAAATTCTTTTGTGTTTTTGAAATCTGCTCGAATTTTGTCACGAACTTTAGTGACCAAGATTGCATCCATAAAGTGAATTCTGAAGTTTTAAAAACTACCTCTGATTTTAAGATTGTGTACGTAAAACCACAATCTAAAACTCACTGGAAGAGTGACTAAGATAAAAACAGTGCTGTTTTTATTTTGCACAATGGGATTTTTTCTGATTTATTAGTTCAGTCAAAGCAATTTCAACCCAAAGCCATTTATGAAGATGACACCCTCTAACTGAACACCGTATTGGCTTGGACGGCGCTCTTTGCATCTGGGAATGTGACCAGAGGGAGACCTCTAATGGCAGGTCGTTTTTACATTTAATTCTTCTCAGCATCATACACATATTTAAAGCTGATGTGAGAATATGCAAGAGCAAGTCTTCCATGCTACCCCAGTGATACAATTTAAGGCTGAGATTCCAAGTTGAAGCCAACCTATCTATATTTTTTTTTGATACTGCCTCACACGACATTTATACTCTTTGGAGTAACCAAGTCTTTGACACTTTTAATTTCTCAGTATGTTTCTACTATCTCTCCTACGTCATTTATCACTATTCTCATTACTTCCCTTCCTGTCTCAGGTTAAATATAGTATGAAAAAATGATGTAATTTGGTTGCGATCAATGAGTTTTCTGATTAATTAATTTCTCAGCTTTTAGTATTGCTATCTTACTTTGTATTATAATGCTTAAATAACCAAACTTTAATAAAGGTCTAGTCCAGTTAAAATCTTAGTTCTCAGTGAAAGAATAAAAGGCTGAGATGATGTTTCAAATATTCTGCTAATAAAAGTTATTGCTTTTTACTTCAGTGTATCTCCTTTTGTTATTGTATAGTAATAGTGTAACAGTCCATATTTCTCCACCTGCATAAAAGTGTATGGAAAAATCTGTTATTTTTTATCTTATTGCTAAAGAAAATTTGTGAATCTGTAGGATCTAAAACTTTGAAGACAGGCCACTTTGCGCACTAGCAATTGTCAAAGAAAACTTTTCAGTTTGACCATCTTGATAATTTTCAGTCTACAGGCATTAAAGGATTTGAGAGTCAGAAAATGGTTATGTCTGCATTTGTAAATGTTTTCTAGCAAGTTATACTTTATTTGAAAGAAGGCTTAAGCTGAAAGTTTTAGTAATTCCCACATACATACTGTGACAGAGATGATCATACATTGTTTATCCTCAAATGCTTCCTGTAGTTCTTACTCATTTTACAATGCTGTTAAGGTTTGAGAGATTCCTTATCTCTACTCATTATTGTTTTTAACGTGAAAGAGATACCTTCATTTGTGGCTATGAAAGATTAATTGGAGAAGCTCGGGTGTTCCGTCTCCTTCTGATATTCAGAAGGAATAACTAAGCAACTTGGAAAGTGAGATGGAAACAGGAGATGGGCAGATGAAATGGATGCCTGTCAAGAGGCAGCATGGGTTAAGTTCTAGCTTATCTCCCTTAGCTATCAGAATGTCAGAGCCTGTAACACTTTCCCATTTTGCTTGCAGGGATAAGCCTCTGTCTTAAAAATGTCAAAACAGCCAGCGTCACATGTCAAAGCCATTCAGGTAAGAGACAGTATTTATGTTTCTAATATAATAAAATAATAACTCAACCTCCATTGCTTTACAAACTGCATTTTTACTCAGACAAAGCACCATAGATGTGCTAACTGGGGATTATTCTGTTAAAGTAAAAAGCTTAGTAGATATGAAAATAGTGGAAAAGTGTGACCTGAAGAGTATCTTTTGATCTGAGTTCATAAAAAACTGGATCAGGTAGGTTCATTGATCACTTATGTGCATAGTCTTTCCAGTGTTAGGTTATGCCTGTTGGGGGATCAGCTAAGCAAAACACAGCGATACATGTGTGTAATTGATCAGCACTATAAGTAAAAATAATTCTTGCAGCTATTAGATTTTCCACAAAGTTAATGCAATGCTGGAAGAATTATAGGCTAAAAAGATGGCATAGGTACTGTACAGTTTTTCATGTCTGCATTCCTTTAGGAAAAAACCCCCACAACTTCCAATATTTGTTTAAGAAGCATTTTTTTTTAAAAGCTAGAGTGAAATGAGAGAAAAGTTTATCTTTTAATTTAAAAGATTCTTGTCTACCACATGCCTCTTCAAATGGTATATGCTTATAAGGATGGAATTGGTTGTTCCATACTTGTAAAAGAAACAGCTGGAGAATTATCCCATCGTCACAAAGTAGCATCATGAAAAATGTATTTAGCTCAAGCTGTCAATGATTCTTGTCAAAAGGCCAAAATATTTCCTGAACTGAAGAATCTTACTGAATTTTCATGTATTTTGTAAAATGCATTTCCAATGAAATTTTACAAGTTCAGGTTCCCTTACATAAGAAACACAAAATGGAATTTCTAAAGTCTGATCTGTCCTCTATTTCCTTGAGATAATATTAATTCAATGGATTGGAGTATCAAGATTAATTATCCAGTGGCTAAGCTGCATGCTGAAGTTGCAAGATACTGTAAAAATGCAGATTCTCTTTATCATCATCAACTGTACTGAAACAGACATGCAAATTACTGTACTCTAATTCAGTTGAAGTTAGCAGAATTTTGCCATTTTGTCAGAATTTTGATTTCACTCAGTTCAAATTTTCATCCCTCTTTTACCCTGACTATAGAAATGTTTGTATGATTAATGAAAAAATACAGATATTTTATAGCTCAAAAGTATTTACATTTTATGTTTAAATTCCATAGGCACATACAAACATTTTTAAGGAATGAATTTGGTTTACTTTTTTCTTAAAGAAGTAGTGATAGATTGCTTTTTATTTTTATGATGACTTGTAAACAATGCTTCTAACTTGTTAATTTAAAAACTGCATTAAGTTTAAATACTAAGTTTAATGTTTTAAGAAACTTTAATTTTGGCAAAGGTAATTTAAATCATGAGGAAAACTACAGCACAAACTTTAAAATATAGCTATTAAACATTGTGGCTCCAGTAGAGACACTTGCACTTGAATTGATGCCTATTACATTTTGAGCACTGTAAGAACTCAAAATGTCACATTACTTTTATACATTGTGATTCATATATTATGATCCTTTGTTATTGTGTGCTATTATAATAGGAATGACATGCTCTGGAGAATATAAATCATGCTTCAGTGATGGAAATATAATGGCACCTTACTAACTGAAGTATTTCATGGTACTCTGGCTTCTGTCTGACTGTACGAGATTTACACAAAAATCGTCACTTGCCAAAAGCCACTAAATAGACATGTGAGAGTTAAAGGCAGCAACTGGTTCCCAAGTTTGGGGCAATAATGGACCAAAGTACTATTAATTCCTGGTTACATTAATTGCTCGTCTCCCCCTCTCAGTGTGTAAAAGGCTGTGTACAGCTCTGGCTGAAAATTATTCTATCTTCAAATACCACTCTTTGTTTTCCCCAGAAGTAAGACTGGGGGGGTTTCCTGGTTTTTCTGGTGGTTTTGGGGTTTTTTTCTGAATTCCATTAAATTTTATCTGCAGTTCCTCTCCTTCTTTCTTATTTTTTTAATTAAAAGTATTTATACTGAAGTGTCTTTCCAGCTTATTTAATCGTCCATCTGGACAGTAGGAGTGGCTGTGATGCTGTGAAGAACTTATCCATTACAATCCTCAACTCATGCATGGCTGCATGAGTTGTATCCTAATATGAATACCCTGTCTCTCTTAAACAGAAAGAAGAACAAAAAAAATCTCTAAATATCAGTTCAATTGATTCAAAGCAGCAATATATGTTGTATTTCATGCTTGTAGATATTTTTCCTTTGGTCTGTTCAGAAAGACCTCAGTAGAGGACACAAGTACACATACCTACTCATTACAAAAACTGCAATGACATCCAGGATATGGTAGGCACTTTCCAAAAACAAAGGAAGAGGCAAACCCAATAGTTTTCCTAATTAGTATGGTTAAAAATAAGAATCACACCTAGAAAGTCTATCTAAAGCAATTATAATTCAGGATTTCAGGAGTTTGGAACAGAAAATTTCCTGTTTAGCACTTTACTAGATGAGAAGCAGGCAAAGAAGAGATTCCTGAGGTTCGTATCTCCATCCCAGATGACAGGTGACAAAAGCCTTGAAATGCATTTTGAAAACAAAACTGCAAACTTGTGCTGATTGCAGCACAACACAGTCCTTGCAGAGCTACACTGGTGTACTGAATTTGGCCCACCCATTATACAGCTGTGGGACAGAACTGGCATTGGATTAACAGGGAAATTTACAGCTTAGGACCTTGGTACCTCTGGTCAGGAAGGGCTTGGAAATAAGTCACGCTTTCATTTCATATTAGAAATATTTTAATTTATAGTATGTGTTATCAGACCCAGACAGTGTTTAATTATGTCTTAAAGGATGCTCATTTTTCCAAGTTAATACGTCATAACTGCGTACATCTTGCCCGAACTCCTATTTGAGTGCTCTTATTGCAGATAAAATAGTAAAAACTGCTTCTGTGTGACACAGATTACTGTGAAAGTGCTGAAGCAGACCAAAGGGTGGTTTATTTAATCTAATTAGCAGCCTGGGACTTAGTGGTTCATTTTTGTTTCCTGAACCATTTTTAGTCACAGTTGGTCTGTCAGTCACAGTAGGAAATGCAAGGGCTGTGGTGTGCCGGGGGAGTCTGGCTTCTGCTTTGATTGACTTCAAGGGGAAGGAATGTCCAAGTTGAGGATGAGCTCCAAAAGGAGACAGCTCTTAAAGTTTCAACTCTGCAAACTTGTATGACCATGCGAGCTGTAAAGTGCAGAGAAGTTTCACATTCCAAAAAAAGAAGCTGCCTGGAGGTACCAGAGCTCGGCGGAGGAGATGCTTGAAATTAAAAATAGCAAAGCTGTTTTTTTTCTACCTGTAAATGAAATAATAGGTTGAGAACTGTGAGGCTGAAAATGCTCTGTCCCCTGGGAAGTTACAAAGTGCAGGTGAAAGGTTTCACAATATCTAAACTAATGCTCAGTGAGAAAGCTTTATGAAACAAATACCCAGTTGTCTATAAACTATATGACCCTGCAGAGTTGGCAGCCCCACTGAAATGACAGCATCACCTTGCCTAAATACGATAATGGGAAACAGGTAAGTAGAATACAGGGAAAGGTGCTTATTTCTTGGCAAGTGGATTCTTAATTCACTTGATATTTGATTACAGCTGTCAGAACAGTTGTTACTGGAAACAGTGGGCTGCTTTCCTGTGGTTGACCAACTGGGGCATGATCTGCAAGACCATGTTTTGGGCAGAAGGATGGGATTATTTATCTTCATTTAGTGCAAATCAGTCAGATGGTGAACTACAAGAACACAGCTCACTGTTAGAAGGTTCTCCATTTCTGCTCTGTAACATTACTGATTCACCCCCTGGTTTTACCAGTGGGAGTCATGATATTTTGATGACATTTCCTAGGAGCAGCTTCTCTTCTGAGATCACAAGATAAGACTAGGTATAGATTGTGCATTTAGTTGATCATGCCATTTGACTTTTAAAATAATCTGGGCTGGGTCATACCAGGAAATGGATACGTTTCAGCTGCTCTTTCCTAAGCAGTATTTCATGCCATTCTTTTCTCAAAAATCTTTACTTTTAAGGTATCTATTTATCAGCACCAATTATGTTATAGCTACTGGCTTTCTGCTCCAGACAAAAAATCAGATTGATGCAGTTATGTGAGCATCATTCTGGAGGGAGTTTGCTAAAGCCGGGGACTAGTGGTCTGCCCGGTGTTGGAGCTGGTTCAGCCATTTGCAGTTCGTAACACCCTCGGTAAATTTTGTTGGTAAAATCACATTTTAAACACTCACAGCTTAAGCTGATTCAGGGCAAGCTTTACCTCCAAATTACCTATGATTAATTGTGGTGTAAACTGGTGTCACTGGGGAAGGGAGAATGGTCCAGTGATTTGGGTGGTATTAGGATTTGGGTGATTTGCACTTAAGTGTTGCTTTTAGCACTCGCTTTCTGTTTGACCTTGACCAAATAGAAGCAGACCCAGGTGCCTAAAGACACTTTGGTGTCTACTACTCATTTAAAATCCAATAAAATCAGGAAGCGTTAGTCTAAAATGCAGAATTTCAAAAGCTTTCTAGGTAGCTTTGTTTTTTCATTTTCTGCCTTTAAAATGGAGATGAAAGCACTTGTCTTTCCCACAGGAGTGGTGTGATGATGCATGCATTGAAGACATAAGTGCTCAGAAACCACAAAAGTGTCTATACACTTGTCCCAATCTTTTTGAGTTTTACCATTTACCAGCTGTATCTTTATTTATCAGTCACCATTATAGGCATCTCAATTTCCTTCTCACAGGCTAATATTAACATCCCAATGGGTGCATTTCGACCTGGTGCAGGCCACCCTCATAAAAGAAAAGAACTTACACCTGAAGAAGTGGACGAAGTAAGTACGAAAGGTTTTCTGACTTGGCTTTTTGTTTTTGTTTTTGTTTTTGTTTTTCCCCAGGAGAATCCCTGCCATAAAATGAAAGAAAGCCTTTTAATCAATCTTATATCTCTGCATACCAATCTTAGATACCACAGCTGAACATGGACAGATCATTCATGGAAATAAATGGCCACTTGCTAAACACTTCATATATAATAGTTCTGCTTTTGGTGCCAAGGCCCCTATAGGAATTTAAACTGTTTCAAAGGTGTGTAGCTGTGCTTCAACAGCAGGATGACATCTGTTGTCAGGAAAGAGAGCTAGGATTTCACCGGAGGTATTTGTCTAGATGAGATTTGATGGGATACAGCAGGAAAAGTTATAGCAAGGCTTTGGAAGGATATGCTACTACCTACTGCCCCATAGTGTGATTGATTGTTACAACTTAGCAATAATGGAACAGGTTTTCAAACATGATGCTTTTTGAAATGTTTATCAACAAGGAAAAATTGAATGTGAAGACACTTGCAAGTTAAAACAGAAATTGAGAACCCATTTATCTGCATAGTGGTGAAAATACTCCATTTTAGACTGAATTCTGTGTTTGCATGCTTAAATTTTACAGGGAGTATTTAACACCGAGTTATGAATATAAAATCCAATTTATACATTAACTAGCATTGGTTATGATTAAACACAGATATCATATTTTTGGATGCTATTAAAGCATCTTATTTACCATTAACCTTTTTTATAAATGCAAACTAAAACCAATAGAGGAAAAAAAGGTAATGGTAGATACTCCAAACAAGGAAAAAAAATCAGTTAAATGTGGGTACTTCTGCCTTCCTGGACAGTTGGCTTAGTTTGGATTTATACCCCTCATCTGAGAACTGGTCCTGCTAGGCCAGAGCTGCCGATGCTCCTCAGAGGCAAGGGCAGGAAAGGCTCTGATCAACTCCATACATCCAGGCTGTTTTGGGCAGGACTTGGGTGGGTGGACTTGCTGCCATGCAGGGAAAGCAAAGCTATTGTGGCAGGAGGGAGCCCTGCCCTCATGCAGAGCAGAGCTGGGATGGTCAGGAGGGAGGGGAAAGCCACTGCTCCCCTCACAGCGTGCTGTGGCACTGCTGGTGATTCAGCCCCAGCCAAGAAGCAGCCAGATTAGTTTTGAACCAATCGTCGGCCCCTTCTGACTTGGAGCAGGCACTTCAAATGGTCAGGTTTAGTTGTGTAAGAGCAAATTCTTCCTTTTCTGTCTCAAACAGACAGATTAGGGTTTTTTTCTGAATTTCACCATATTTTGATATAAATAGTACTCTGTTTACAGAGAACTTTCCTGAAGTAATCAAACCCAAGCTGACTTAGCTCTTAAGAAGATTTAAAAGAAACAAACATACAAAATGACCTTGAGCATGTATTGTGGCTTTCTCCACTTGAAAGAAATGAAAGCATATTCTCTCTGAAGTAATTAAGCTGATGAAGGAGTGTATGTTATCAAGCAGAAACTAATATAGCATGTATGAATTCTGGTAGTGTTTGGGAAATAAAATAAATGACTGGTGCTGATAATTAGGTTTGGTTGGGTAATTGAATGTTACTTTGCTTCTCAGGTACATGAATACTATATATGAGACAGACATTACAGAATGAAAGTTCTTGGCACAGGTTTTATAGGCAATATTCAACCAAATCAATGGTAGTAAAGACTACAGAAACAGATCTTTTAATGGGAATAGAATAAAAATACTACTAGTGGACTTGTCTTTGCAGTTTTCTCATCTTGTTAAGTTTTGCAATACAGCTCATGATTTTTCAAAGCAGTTTTAGACAAATATGTCTTTTGCTAACAGTGCATAGGATTTTTCACTATTTTTTAAAGGCTTGGCAAAGGAGATGAGGGGATTATGAGTCTTACTCAAAGGGACAGTGGAGTCAGATGTGAACATGTACTTTTGAAGGTCGATGGAGCAGGCATGTTTAACATGGAAAGAAATGGAGGGTGGGAATTTTAGAAAATAACTTCTTCAGTCAGAGCATTCGTTAACTCTCGTGTGTCTGAGTCACTCTTTAAAATTCCTTCCATAAAACTGGAGACCAAAGTCTAATCTCAGCTATGCATTGCACATGGAGTGGTTGATACAGGGAGGGGTGCAGTCATAGGTAGCACACACCTGAGGTTAGAGGAGAAAGCTGACAGCAACTTATGGAGCGCAAAGTCTCCAAAACACGGTCAAAGCTTGTGCCATTTGTTCTACAGGAGGAAGGGAATTGAACGTGACTAGAAATGGTATTTTTAACATAGTATCTGCTATTTATAATAAGAACTAAGGGGTTGAGGGAATGGTAGTTTCCCCTTGTAGTGGTTTGAACCTTGTTTTCCCCAGAGGCTAAGAGAAGTGGTAGACCCCAAGGGGTGGAAACCCCTGGAAGTTTTGAAGTTCTGCCCAATGGGCGCTCCTGCAGAAATGTAAACATATCACAACCAGACCGGAAAAGAAGAGTTGTAGTTTGGTTGTTGTAGGAGAGGTGGCCATGTTGTAGAGCCACGAGGTAGGGGCTCTGAGCCCCTTGGGGCCTCTGGCCCCCTCCCAGCCCCTGGCTGGGGGGCTGCAGGGACCTGGAACAGCATAAAGCTGGGCTAGGTGCCTGTAGTTATGCCGGGAGATGTTTTCTCCATGGGCGCAGAGCAGCAGCCGACACTGACCAGAGAAACGGTGGCAGAGAGCCAGAGATAAGAACCTGAACTGAAGGAGCAGCAACATGCAGCACCAGAGAAAGGACTCCTGGAAGGAGAGCTGAGGAAAGGAGAGCCAGCAACTGAGAGCTACAGAGTTCTTGGGGGTAAGACTGTACCACACTCCCCCAAAACTCCCTTGAGATCCCTCTTGGAGAAGAGGGACATGGACTCCTATTTTGGAGAGCAGTTTTAGACATGCAGCACGGAGAGAGAGGAGCTGAGAAGCTCGGAGCGTCCCGCAGCTGGACCGGGACGGCCAGATGGAATGTGGGGGGGGCGACCTTGGCTTTCCCCCCTTGCACTGCTGCCACGGTGGCAGCCTCTGCAAGAGATACCAGACCGTCACGAAGACCCCCCTGTGTCTTCGTGATATGACGTGGTGATACGACCTTGTCTGGGGTTACGAAGACCACGGAAGACCCCTCGGTTGTGAGGCGATGGGGCCGGGGGAGCTTGAATACCTCCCTCGTGGATGCTGGCAGAAAAGCCAGCTATCAGCTGCTGCATGCATGAGAAGAAGAAACCTGCTGCCTTAGAAGATGCTGCTGTGACTGGAAGGGATCTGTCCTTCTTTCCCTCCTGGACTTTTAAGGGGATAAGAGATCTGATCCATTGTAAATACATATGTCATGGTAGAGATAGTTTGTGATCATGTGTATAATGTGATATGATATTTATTTGTACAGTCATTGTAATATATTCCCTTTTCCCCACTTTGAGTCTGGTGTGTTTTGTCTGGAAAAACCCATCTCACATTAGGTTGAGATGTGAGAGGGGGAATGGAGCTAGGGAATTGGATGTTGAGGCTATCTCAAACCATGACACCCCTGATTATTCAGATTAGCTAGTTGTGCAAGAAAACTGTGAAAGTAAACAATACAAGCTCTTGGCAACTTTGACTACTGATACAATTTTGTGCATCCTTCCAAACAGCTTCTGTATCAATTTACTTATTCTCCTGCTGTGCTTTGCTACTCTTTCAGAATGTTAGACCATTATGCTAGATGTCAGACAGTACATGCCCTAGCTGGGGGTGAATTACTGACTGGGATTTGAAATGAACAAGAAGAAACATGTATAATGATATTAGTTAGTATTATCTTGTATTAGCTAATAGTGTATTGGCTAAAATGTGAGAAAAGACAAGTTTACCAAGCCAAGCGATGTAATTGTTGCTTCACTTTTCTTATATATATAGTGATGTTAAGAAAGTTCTTGAAGATCAGATAGGAAGAAAATGTCAGTTTTCTAGAATACCTTGTTTATTTGCTATTTGACGTTGCAAAAAGTCTTCTTCCTAATTAGCCTGTAGTCTATTAGTCAACAGAAAAAAAGAGGCCAATAATATTTGACAGATAACTTTGGAATTTTAAAAATTAAATTAAATGTTAAGAACTGACTGCTCACAGTCAATACACATTTTCAAAAAGTGTAGCTAATAAGTCTAAATAGTGATTTAACTTGAAAAGGCCAATCCCAGTAGGACATTCATAGAGTAATCAAAAAAGAAAAAAATAATTTCATCATGAAATTATTTGCAGTAAAATATAAATTAATTTCTAAGTCTACATGATTCTCCCCATATGCCAGCTTTACAAAATATGCAACAGACTGCAACAACCTTAACTCCCTACTGGAAAGCTACTACTTCATTTTTCCATCTAGAATAGAAATTGTCTAAAATACACACTTTACTCACCTAGAAGCAAAAGTACAGCCAAGGAAGTACTGAGGGCTAAAATACTGTGGTTCATCAGGAAATTAGCTGAGTTGCTCACTATTTTGAAAGTGCTGTTATTTAACCTTTATTTTTACAGTGTCAGCAAAATAGCCATGAGGCTATTCAAACATAATTCAAACATAAAATAACAAAAACCCTCCTGGTCTTGCAACTGAGGTTAAGAAAAATTAAACTTCAACTCATGCTGAGCTTGCATGGAGCTTTTGATGTCTATAACCTATTATCTTAGATCTTTTCCAGAGCTGCAGAAGTGCATGATGGTTTTCCTCTCCAACTATCTGGCCACTATGAAACTCCCAAAGAAATTAGATTATAAAAATGTTTCTTCTGCTTCCCCCCCCCCTAAAATATGAAGGACTTGGAATTGCCTTTAATGCTCCACTCAGTTGTTTTCCACTAATAGTCTGACACTGTAAATTCTTACCCATCTACCAAAAGATCCATGTTCCTCTACACTGAGCACCCTCTATCCTTTCTAGAATGATTTTAGACAACAACCAACTAAATAACCTATCTCTTCCTCCCCATTCCCCCTCCTTTCTCCCCTCACCAGTTTTCACTGGGATTTCCTTTAGTATAAAAATATCCTTTCCTGGTTTCTCAAATAACTGATCTATGCTCATGCTCAAGAGATTGCTATTGCAGCAGTGAAGTCACTGATATCCTTTTGTGCAGAGTGTTCCTGCTTCGACAGAGGAGGAGAAAGACAAGAAACATCTCCCAGGAGCTAGGAAACTTCCAGGTCCTGCTGTCAACTTGTCAGAGATTCAGAACATAAAGAGTGAGCTGAAGTACGTTCCCAAAGCTGAACAGTAGCTGGAACAAGCAGGTGAGTGAAAGAGGGTTCTTTACATGGCTTTAGGAAAAGCAAGCTGATCCAGAAACCTCTTACGTAGAAAGATGGCTTTCCAATTACTTCAGTGGACCTGTAGTCACACCTCATATTTCAAAGACAAAATAGAAGAAGCCATAATCCTTGATATTCTTTGTTATTTCAAACATAGATCATATTGGAGACTATATCCAATGATCTATGTCACCCATCAACTGGCCTAACAAATAGTTTATTTAGCATATTAGGAATATTGAAGACAGCTGAAAAAATAGCATCTTGCTTCAGAAGCACAGGTTCCAGTTTTGCAAAATATATGACTTACTTACAGTCTAACTACAAATAGATCTTTTACAATGCAAATAAATTTATTGCAGTGATGGACAAGTAGGTCAGCATTTTCAAGCTCCTTTGGAATATTAGTTATTTGATATTCATTTTTTTATATTATTCAAAATTGACATGCTAATGGCTCCATGTATTTGATCATACAAATGTACCACTATTTGTGGCACCTGAGGACTCGCTATATAGGTATATCAGGCTTGGAAATATGAGATTGGACCTTGGGGACATCTGTGCTCTTCTGAAGTAGCAGATGAACTCCAGGTAGGGACCCTCAGGCACTGCGGACAGCACCAGATACCTATGAATTGAGCCACTGATCTACAACTAGAACCACAGCTCATACTTATTTTGCTCAATGTCTGGATGGAGATCAGGGATAAGTGATCTCTCTCAGGTGTAAGTGCTGGGACCAGGACCCTTTAGTGTCTTCTTCAGTGGGCACAGACAGTGGGATAAAGTGCACCCTCAGCAAATTTGCAGATGACACCAAGTGGAGCAGTGCAGTTGACACACGTGAAGGATAGAATGGCACATGGGGTGGGGGGCTGGTCAAGCTCAAGAAGTGGGCCCATGACAACTCATGAAGTTCAACAAGGCCAAGTGCAAGGTCCTGTACGTGGGTCAAAGCAACTGCCTGGAATCAATGTACGCTGAGCACGGAACGGATTAAGAGCAGCCCTGAGGAGAAGGACTTAGGGGTGTTGGATGAGAAGTTGGATATGACCTGGCAATGTGCACTTGAAGCCCAGAAAACCAACCATGTCCTGGGCTGCATCCATAGCAGTGTGGCCAGCACCTCAAGGGAGGGGATTCTCTGCTCTGGAGAGACCCCACCTGGAGTACTGCATCCAGCTCTGGGGCCTCTGCCATAGGAAGGAGTTAGCCTCGTTGGATTGAGTCCAGAGGAGGGCTGCAAAGTCAATCAGAGGGATGAGTATGTCTCCAATGAAAACAGGCTGAGAGTTGGGTTGTTCAGCCTGGAGAAGAGAAGGCTCTGGGGAGACCTCACTGTGGCCTTTCAGTACTGAAAGGGGGCTTATAAAAAAGATGGGGACAGAGTTTTTAGTAGGCCCTATTGTGATAGGACAAAGGATAATGGGTTTTAAACTTAAGGACATTAGAGTCAGATTAGATATAAGGATAACTTAGATGTAAAAAACTAGATGTTTTTTACAATGAGAGTGGTGGAACACTGGACCAGGTTGCCCAGAGAGGTGGCGGATGCACCATCCCTGGAAACATTCAAGGTCAGGCTGGACAAGGCTCTGAGCAACCTGGTCTAGTGGAAGACATCCCTGCTCATTGCAGGGGGGTGGACTAGACGATCTTCAGAGGTCTCTTCCAGCCCAAACCATTCTATAATTCTGTGATTATTTTATTTAAAAGGAAATATTCAGCACTTCAACACTGATTTCAGAATAATTTCCATTTGATTTCAAACAAGGCCCATAAGCGTCTGTTCTACATTCTGAGCCTGATAGAAATTAATAATTTCTGTCCATGAAATTATCTTTGATTTTCCTTGAAAAGCTTGAGTCAGTAAAGATGCATCAGGCAGTTACAAAGAATACTCAGATGTACAAAGAAGTTTCAATACAAAAAATCTCACCCTGGCTACAGTAAGAAAAAGAGAATTGCATCACACAGTAGTCACCTGAAGTGCCAGTTTTGCATATTGACTAATAAATCCTTTCTATTGTGAAGAGAGGCAGAGGAGCTAAGATGAGTAGAAGAATGTCATCTCCAATTTGCTGCGTGGAAACATAAATGAAGAACAGAGGAAAACAGAAAGCAGTGCAAAAGGGTTCTGGCAATGCAGAAGTGCTAAGGATCAGGAATGTAAAAGAAATGGCATATAATCTGAGTGAATTGCTCGAATGTGCAGTGCATCATTGACTTATATTTTATGCACAGCATAAATACGCCATTTGGAAACAAGAGTGCTTAGCTGTTTCTTGCTTTTACCCCACTGTGTCATAATGTTCCTGTTATTTTAAAGAAACAATGGAGTCTTCCTCTTCAGAAAACTTGGTAAAAGAAAAATTAATATTTTGTAAAATATAACATTGTAGTCACTGCACTAAAACACTGCCCAGAGAAATATGAATTTTTAATGTGAGACTTTAAAGAGGTTTTTTCTGTAAGAGATATTTGGACATAAATTTAACCCCATGTTTATTCTCAGATGATTGCTATTTTCAACATTTAAAACAGTTTTTTAGCAATTAGCTTACTGAGAATCCAGCAAACATTTGGGGCAGGCACAGAGGTTCACTCTAAGGAGAAGATTTCTACAGAAAGGTCAGCAAAGCAAAGGGCATCTTGAAAGAGGTGAGGTTATTATGAAGTCATTTCTGTCTCCATCCTTCTTTTGATGTACTGTGTATCAGGTTTGGACAGTGATACAGATTTCTAGATTTTGGGTAGTGCAGTCACAGATCATATGTGAACACTTATTTTCTAAAAGAGTTGCAGACACAGTAGTCACTGGAACCTGGAAGTTTGGATTTGGATGCTGTGCAGAACTAAGCAGTTGAATGAGTTCTACATGAAACTGAAATGTAAATCAATCATGGGCCGCATTCAGCAGCCTTGAATGGTACTAAATCTAAGGATCATCCCCTACAAGAGGATATTCATCAGTTAAGGTGTTTTAGTCATGACCTGCAGCCTTGCATAAAATGTGATAAAGTCAGTGCATTGTTTTATGACTGACCATGACCATGTCAATCCAGTGAAAATTGTCTTTATTTGAAAGAAATCCACACTCACATCTGCCTGATGCTTTGCTCCAAGGAAAGGTTACAGATTATCCTTTGAATGTGATGCTCTCTAAAGAATAGTAAACAGACTGATCAATAGAATATGACTGTACAGAGTGTGTACTGATCAATGAGAGTGTTCTTTGGTTTTCACAGTTTGGAAATTAAATCTCACATCAGTAGTATAATCTCAGATATTCACTACTGAGGGATTTCCCTTTGGTATTATTTTTATATTTCTTATGGTACTCTGTTGGTTATACCTACTTGAAATGGTTAGAATAACTCCAAATACTCTGGATAATTTCCATTATTCTGTTATCCTATAATGTGATACAATAAAAAAATACCAAAAGTATACTTTAACATTCAAAAATGCCAAAGCTTTTACAATTACAGCAGTTATTTCCAACTTTACCTCCTAGTATTGTCATATATCATGGGATAGTTTCAGTAAATTGCAAGTCAAATTGCAAGATGATTAATTTTTTAAAATTTTGATCCATGCATTCTTGCTCAGTTTAACAGAGTGCAAAACCAGCAGCAAAAATAAGAAACCTGCAAAGCAGTAGGTTGGTTCATTATTTACAAACCCATACCTACATGATTCACACTTTAGAGTAACTTCTGTTAAGTATCTTTGGTATTGCTCTTCACCAAATTAGGGAGCATGAATAGACTTATTAAGATCATAGTTGTAAGTCTAACAGTTTGTGGGAGGGATATAATTAGTGAGATGTCAGGAAACTGGATCCATTGAAGGTCATCGAGTGCTCCTCAGTTAAGATATTCCTGTAGTTGTCCCCTGATGCTGGTCTGTCATCTATAATTAACTAATTAGCATACTCTGCTTTGTCCTAAAGATTTTTTTCTTCCACAGACCTGTAGCTGACGTGTTAGATTGAGCTAGTTTTAATATACAACCTGAGTTGTGGCTCACTTCCCTTTTCTCCAACTACAATTTTTTTTTTGCTGCTCCCTTCACACCTGCTCATTTCTACATGCACAGGGGTGAAGCATATGCAAAATAAAATAGTAACAAAATATCGCATGCTAAAAATATGTGTCCTATTGAATAAGTAATGGTAGGAAGCATTTAATTTGTGAGAAATAGAACCTGCTATGGCTGAGATTTATTGCTGTTTATTGTGGTATCTCATATGATAACTAGTATGGTGACTGTACTTGAAAATGGGCCGAAGCACAAACTGACATTTCACCTGAGAATATATATAAATTCAACCAGTTACTTCTGCAACTCATGTTCATTCCTCATTCTGTAACCCTTCACATTTTGTGTCCTGAGGTGTGGGGGGCTGTGTAATAAGACTTTTTACTGTGCACCCTGAAGGGCCACGGAGTCCTTCGGAGAATGCTGGACTTTGGTCTCAGAAGACCTAAACCTTCAGCTAAAGTAGTCTGGTCTTTTCCTCCTGAGTGAGACTTTTGTACTTACTGGAGGACCTTCTTGAAAGGCAAAAAGGGAAATTTACTACCTTGAAGTTACAAAACAGTCTGTCATGGACACGTGGGCAGCACTGTGTTTTGGTTGTGTTTTGAGAAAGGGATTGTCAGGATCCCTATCACAACGTTGATGAGATGATTTCCCACATGCAGCTGGTACTTGTAGATAAACTGTTGGTTTTACCTGGAACTCTACTGAGGAAGGGTGGTTTGATTGCAGAAGTAGTTCTATTGTCAGTTACAGAAGCAAGGGAGTTGTATTTTGAGGGCTGAAGACTATACATCCAGCAAAAGCTTCCCAGAACAGCTTAGGCTTTGTATTTCTTACGGCATTACCTCCTCTATAACATATTGGGAATTCTGCCTGGCACAAAATGAGAAAACTTATCAGTAGAGTAGCCTCTGAGATTGGTGTCACTTGGT